CTCCCTCAACGGCCGATCACTCCTTGTTCATGCTTGGCGAGGGGGAGCAGAGGAGTTTCATGGTGGTTTATGTGGATGACATCCTCATTTTCACACCCTCTTCTGACCTTGTGAAGGAGGTGATGCTGAAGCTTCAAGACAAGTTCAAGTGCAAGGCCCTTGGTGACGTGAGCTTCTACCTTGGGCTCCACATCGAACGAGATGTGGAGAAGCGGTGCATGCGGGTGCATCAACGAAAGTACCTGGAGGCATTGGCTGCCAACTTTGGGCAGAGTGAAGGCCATGTGGCTACACCCTTTCCCTCTGGGTTCAAGTGTGTGAAGGGACCAGAGGAGGAGAGCGTTGGTGAAGAGGAGAGGCGCCGATTTCACTCGTTGGTGGGCAGCCTCATGTATGCGGCGGTAAACACCCGACCGGACGTCGCGTTTGCTACCGGGCAGCTGGCTAGAGTTGTGCAATGCCCTAATGAGGAGCAGGTAGCAGCTGGAATGAGGGTGGCCAAGTATCTTGGCCAAACACCGACCGTTGGGCTGCAATACTCGGCGGCGGCACAAAGGCGCCAAAAGGGCGCGGATGGTGTTGAACCCGGGCGTTTGTTCCTCACCGCCTACTCGGATGCTTCATATGCATCAGAACCAGAGGACATGACAAGTGTGGGAGGCTTCATATGCTGTGTTGGTGGAGGCCCAACTGCTTGGGAGAGCAAGAAGCAGGTTGACCAAGCTTTGAGCTCGGTGGAGTCCGAGTACATGGCACTCTTCCGTGCCGTACGGGAGATTGTGTGGCAGCGGCGTTTGTTGGCTGAATTGGGGGAGGAGCAGCAAGGACCTACCCCACTGTACTGTGACAGCCAGGGTGCCATTGCTCTTGCTAAGAACCCTGTGTTGCATGGACTCACGAAGCACATGAGGGTGAAGTGGCATTGGACGAGGAGCATGATAACCGCGGGTGAAGTTGAGTTGCGCTACGTGAAGACCACGGGGCAGCCGGCTGACATGATGACCAAGAGGCTGGTGGAGCAGCAGCATTGGAAATGTTGCAAGCTGGCTGGGATGGCTCTGAACTGAGAGAGCAACATATCCTAAGGCCAACAATCCGAGGGGGAGTTTGTTGGTGCAACCCTACGGTTTGCACTCGGCTTGTTGTCCGTGTGCGTGAATGTGTGTGTGTATGGAATGGTATGAGGGCATGGGATAATATATATTTCATGCTTATAATTGTGTGTGAATGTTGAGTCATGATGTCGAGTGTGTGTGTCGAGTCAATAGCGAGTTATCGCTAGACGCGAGTTACGCGGTCGTTTGTGTCTCGCGCGCGGTTTCTATTTTGTCGTGCGCGGTTTCTATTTTGTCCTGTGTCGAACGTTCGGCGTGTCGCAGGTGTGTGCAGCAGACCCATCAAGAACTCAAGGATGAGTTTGTGATGAAGAGCCCGAGCCTTGGTGTCAAGCCTCAAGTGATTTCGAAGCTCGCCAAAAAGGGTACACCTCAAGATATTGAAGATAGTTACATTACTTTGTGTAGTGTAACATTTCACTTGGTGTAGGCCCTAGTGCAGGGTAGTTTCGAGACCCTTCGTGGTTGGGGACAGTGTGGCACTGTTCCACATCACTGTACCTCGGCTCTTGGGGTTTGTAGGAGCTGGGAGTCATTCCCAACTCGTAACTCTTCCTATCTTGTGTTCTAAGACTATAGTGGCTGCCATAGTACCGTTCGTTCAAACCGACGCTGTGTCGTCAATTCTTTATCAAATCGTGCAATCTAAATTGCTAATTGTAGACGACGTAAAGACGCTCCAGATCCAATTTGAATCAAGTCATTTGCAGCTGTGAGCAGAACGCTATCAACGTTTGAAGCCGCTGTGCAGAAATCCGTCTGTGCTCTCTATCTTTCGTTTTAGGCACATTCAAGCCTATTGTGACTATAACAACTACTTGGTGCTGTCAGCAGCGCACTCACTACTTGGTGCTGTCAGCAGCGCACTCACTACTTGGTGCTGTCAGCAGCGCACTCACTACTTGGTGCTGTCAGCAGCGCACTCACTACTTGGTGCTGTCAGCAGCGCACTCACTACTTGGTGCTGTCAGCAGCGCACTCACTACTTGGTGCTGTCAGCAGCGCACTCACTACTTGGTGCTGTCAGCAGCGCACTCACTACTTGGTGCTGTCAGCAGCGCACTCACTACTTGGTGCTGTCAGCAGCGCACTCACTACTTGGTGCTGTCAGCAGCGCACTCACTACTTGGTGCTGTCAGCAGTGCACTCACTACTTGGTGCTGTCAGCAGCGCACTCACTACTTGGTGCTGTCAGCAGCGCACTCACTACTTGGTGCTGTCAGCAGCGCACTCACTACTTGGTGCTGTCAGCAGCGCACTCACTACTTGGTGCTGTCAGCAGCGCACTCACTACTTGGTGCTGTCAGCAGCGCACTCACTACTTGGTGCTGTCAGCAGCGCACTCACTACTTGGTGCTGTCAGCAGCGCACTCACTACTTGGTGCTGTCTGCATGCCCCGTGCCCACGCGAAGGAGTGGAGGACAGGGGTGAGGGTGAAAGAGGCAGAAGGCGGGAAAAGGAAGGTAGAATGTGGGTGGGCGAAGCTGCAAGTGCTGCAGCTGACTGCTCATGTTGAACTGGTCGCTCGCCTGTCAATCGGTGGGCCGAGTTCAAATTCGAGTTCGAACTTTGTAGGGTTACCGGCCTCGTTAATTTCGCCAGAAAACTTTGCGACAATCGTCAAAATGACGCGAGAAGATGGAACCGAACGTGGAATTCGAACACAGGTCGAATTTCCAACCGAACGTGCGCCCCCACGTTTTGGCGAACGTGTGCCCTTCTTCCCACGTTCATGGATGCTGCGAAACGGGCGACACTGACGAAGGTCATCATCCGCACTACCGAACTACAGGCTGGTTTGACGACGTGGCGGACTGTCAATAACCAAAACCGGGTAACCTACGAGACGCGCACGCGACTCGAGCAATGCTGTAGAAAGTCGAGTTTCGATAGTCGACCCCTCGATGTCACATGTCCTTGACTGAAAATTTGCAGGGCGGCTCGACAATCGGAAACTGTAATATTCGACTACAGTTCGAACCTAGTTCAACTGTAAAAACTCGAGTCTAAAAAGCAAACTTTGCAATTTGTTACGAAGGACACACGCCCTTAGAGTGACTTGTTAAAAAGCTATGTTGAGCGAATAGGTGCGTGTTCGCTCAAATTTCCAAAAGCTCAAACTTTTGGTGTACCGAATGCCCGACTCACGAATTCGAACTCTGGAACAAGGAGGCAAAAGAAACACGCCCTCAGTGCGATTCCGCCATGACATGGCCCCCACGGGGTGTCCCAAACGTCCTTCGCCCACACCGTACCCAATCTCTCCGAATCATCGTGAAAATGCTTTAGACCTCAAAGTAGATTACTGAGCCGCCGTGTTCACGGGAACTCTTGCAAGCAGCAAAGCAAAGGTGTCTCCCAACATTCACTCACCAAATGAGTTCGAGCCTTGGGATTAGCAGATTAGCTGAGGAAAGCTCAACAGCCCAGGAAAGCAGTGGAAAGCCGAGTAGTAGAAACGCTGTGGAAGCATGCAGCAGTTCGCAGCAGTTTTGTTAGGCTAGGTCCCCAGCAGTTCGCTCGCTCCGCTCAAAGCGACGTCCTAAGTTTGCCGCAACATGGGAGACGACGACGACTCGCCTCTCCATCCTTCCCTGAAAGCTTCTCTGAAACAACGGCCATCAGGACAGACGACGTCGCACACGACGTCGCTGCCGGCCATTCCGTCGCGCGGCAGCGACGCTGCGAAACCCGTCGCGAGCGTCGCTTCGAATAAGAGCCGCGTCTCCGCCATCCGATGGGACGATCTGGACCGTCTGAACAGCTCCGGTAACTCGACACGTCAGCACGAGGCCAGCGAAACGCCGACGTGGCTGACGCTGTCTGACGTCAGCGCGATCAGCTCAGCAGCAGAGAGCGAGCGAGGAGGCCGTGAGGCGTGGGACGAAGCGCGCGCGCGCAGGGAATGGGGGGAAGAGGCGGCCGCGCCGCAAGGATGGACGAACGGGAGGGGGGAAAGAGCGCGACGAGGGGAAGCGGAAGGGGAAGGGGAAGGGGAAAGAGCGGAAGCGGGAAATCCGGAGGAGAACAATATGTACGAGGTGCCACACAAGCAGCGGTTCCGGGGTGACCATGATCTGTCCCCGCTACAGCAGGTGAGCGCCTTGATTCGACACTAAACACACAAGGAGCAGCAGAACATGTACGAAGTGCCACACAAGCAGCGGTTCCGGGGTGACCATGACCTGTCCCCGCTACAACAGGTGAGCGCCACAGTGAACCCATGGGTGCTTGCCACACAAGCAGCGGCTGCAGTGACCCATGGGCCATGACCTGTCGCCGCTACAACAGGTGAGCGCCTGTGACCGCGTCAGCAGGTGAGTGTTGTTCCTTATCAAAGTGAACCCAGAAGTGGCTGCTTGGAGCATCAGCATAGCAAGAGGAACAATATGAGCAGCAGTGCGAGTATGGCATGCAAACAGATCTGAGCAACAGAGAGCCTGTCTCCCTGCACCGCCTCTCCCACTGGTCCTTCCAACGCAACTGGGCCGACCCTCAAGCGGCCCCACCTACTCCCTTTCGCTCTTCCCCATCCCCTTCACCATCGCCCTCCCCATCCCCCTCCCTCCCCATCCGCCTCCCCTCCCCACTCCTGCAGTTTCTGAATTGGGTCTCCCACACGCTGCTGGGCCGCCCCTCAAGGGGCTCCACGCACTCCGTCTTCGCCTTTGCATGAGCTCCCAGCGCGTGCACAACAACCCACCCCTCCCCCCCCCCCTCCCTCCCTCCCCCCCAGTTTCTGAACTGGGTGTCCCACACGCTGCTGGGCCGTCCCTCCAGGGGCTCCACACACTCCGCCTTCGCCTTGGCGTGAGCTCCCAACACGCACACAACAACCCAACCCTCCCCCCCCACCCACCCCCCGCCCACCCCCTCCCATGCAGTTTATTAACTGGGTCTCCCACACGCTGCTGGGCCGCCCCTCAAGGGGCTCCACGCACTCCGCCTTTGCCATCTCCCGCATGGCCTCCCAATCCGCCCCGGGCCTCGTACCCTCTGACTCCCGAGCCAGCGCCGTAGGCTCGGCAGCGGGGGCCAGGCCCGCGTTTGCCCGGTCCGACACTTTTTTTCTGCGGGAGATGAGGGCGTCTGAACTGCTGGGGAGGGCCGTGGTGGCACCTGATAATGGGTGAGTGGGTGCCAATGTTGGGTGTGTGAATGGTGGCCTTTCTCCCTTTATCTCTTCGTCTCTCCATCCTTACATCCCTCCATCCCTCCTGCGGGAGATGTGCGCGTCAGAGCTGCTGGGGAGGGGTGATGATGGGTGAGTGAGGGGAGATGATGGGTGCCGCATCTCACCCTTCACAGCTCGTTCCATCTCAACCTTCACAGCTCGCCCCATCTCATCCCTCTCTCGCATCTTTCCAGGCACTCGAGAACCACACAGTCGGCCACCTTCCGCCATTCAACTCCTTCGTCCAACTGCCAGCTCCAGCTGGAGCTGACATCGCGGCAGCTGGAGCTGGCAGCTGGAAGGAGGAGTCGGATGGCAGAAGGTGGCCGACTGTGTGGTGTGGTTCTCGAGTTCTTCCCACCTTGAGCCGTTTCAATCCCTCAATCCGTCCCTCCCTCTCATTCTCTCCCCCACCCAACCCCTCAGTCACCTGCTGTTGTGGCACCAGCTCACGCTCACCCTCGCTCACTCAACTCTGATCTGCCTCAACTTCTCCTCTCTACTTCTGGCCTTCTCTTTCTCTCCCCCCCCCCTCCCTTCTCTCAGCTACCTACTGCTGTGGCAGCAGCTCATCCTGGCGCTCTCCTTCTACTCCGCCTTCATCACGCCTCTCGAGTTCTCCTTCCTGCCCGTCCTGCCGCCCGGCCTTGCCATAGCGGACGGCGTCGTGAGCATCTTTTTCCTCGGCGATCTGATTCTCACCTTCTTTGTCGCCTTCAAGGACAGGAAGACCCAGAGCTACGTCTGCGACCACTGGAGCATTGCCACCAGGTGAGGTATGGTTGAGTGCGGTGAGGTGAGGTGCGGTGAGGTGGTGATGTGAATTCTCTTCTTCCTCGCTGACCCCATTCTCACGTTTTTTGTCGCCTTCAAGGACCCAGAGCTACGCCTGCAACCGCTGGAGCATTGCCACCAGGTGAGGTGCGGTTAAGTGCTGTTGAGTGCGGTGAAGTTATGTCAGCCTGTACTTCCTCGCTGGTCTGCTGCTCATTGTCTTTGTTACTTTCAAGGACCGAAGACTCGGAGCTGTACAAGCAGCCACTGGAGCATTGCCGCCACCAGGTGGGGTGCGGTTGAGTGTGGTGTTTGGGGGGTGTTGGGGGGTGAGGCTAGGCGAGGTGAGGTGCGAGCATTGGCACCAGATGGCGTGCAAAATCTGTTGTGCGGTGAAGTGGGGTTCGACGCCGTGGAGTGTGATGAGGCAAGGCGTGATGAAGTCAGATAGATCATGGTTGGTTGTGCCCCATGCGGTGCGGTGATGCACAATTTGGACATTTGGGCATCACATCACATCACCCCTTTGATTAAAATAACCGCCTGCTTGCCTTTAAAGCAGCTGTGTGCCGCCTCACTCTTTGTGTGCCCCAACTTCCTCCCTCCCTACCCCCTTGCTCTCTCAGTTTTTTCTGCCGGCTGTCCTTCTTTGGCTTGCTTTCTTTGCTTCATACCATTCCCTCCCCCCCTCTCGCCACCCTCCGCCCCCCACTTAACCCTCTTCCCCCCCCACCTCATCGCGCGCAGGTACCTATGCACGTTTTTCATTGTGGACCTGCTTGCTCTCTTCCCCTGGGACACCTTCTTCCAGGTACAGCAGGAACCATTTGTTCAGGTGTTGGATTAAGGGTTGGAGCCCGGGTGGGATGAAGGAACTGAATGAAGCAAGACAAGATGAAGACTCGAATCGTTAGACAGAAGCGCTGTCCGTCTTGGAAATGTCATTGCAGTTGTGTAACTCGCGGCGTCCGCTATCCATTTCTATTTGAGTCGTCACGGAATATTATGTATAATGTATTTATATGTATTTTTGTGTGTGTATAGAGTACATATTTGTGTAGGTACAGGACAACATCAAGTGTGCCGAGTGGGTTACAGGTTGAGGCAACCCCGCCCATTTGCAGTGGAAGTGCAAATGGAAGTTCTAATTTACACACATATGCCTCCTCGAAGCATCCTTCTCTGACTGAATTTACATTATGTCTCCATGTTTCGCCAGCTGGCAGGAGGGGAGGCGGGCGACAACTTGCTGAGGTGGTTCCTGTGGACCCGTGTCGTGAGGACGCGGCATATCATGAACTACTTTCACAGGTGTGTGCGCTGTGTGTGGCATCGTGACTCGTTTGTGTGCTTGCCTTGCCTGTTCACATCCCACGGCTCCCCTGTGTGTTGCAACCTACGTGGTTCCTGTGGACCCGCATTGTGAGGACACGCCACGCCACAGCATGACAAGAGCTACTTCCACAGGTGTGTGGCATTGTTTGTCTGTGGTGCATTGTGTGCGTGCAGACCTGCTTGCATGTTTCCTTTACCTGTTCACACGGTCCTGCTGTGTGTTGCAATCTACATGGTTCCTTCTTTGCTCACCTACCCCCACCCCCACGCTGCACCACAGCATCCGCCTTCGCTGGGAGTCCACACCACACCGGTCGGTCTCCTCTCATCGTGCATTTCTTAGCCTCCACATAACGACTCCCTACACCACCCGTGTGTCTCCCCACCAACCAGACTACAGCGCGACATCCATGTGAGCTACTTCGCAGTGCGAGTGGTGAAGCTCATATTCATCGAGCTCTACATCACGCATGTGGCCGGCTGCTTCTTCTACTTCCTCGCCACCACCTACCCTCCCGACCAGGTGGGTGGGAAGTCAAGTTACTAGCTGACCAGGTGGGAGTTACCACCTACCCCCCCGACCAGGTGGGATTATGTAGGCAAAGGTGGGTCAGATTCACCACCTACGCAGGTGGGTGGATGGGAGGCATCATATGTAGTGCACACCGTTTTACGCTAACCAGCTCCAACCCACCACCGGACCGAATGCGATGCGAGCCTTCATTTCCCCCTTGGACCCAGTCCGAGCCACATGTAGCATAAGTGGTTTGCCTGGAGCTTGTCCGGCTCACATGTGATGCGATGCACTCTGTTCGCCTTTCGTTATGCTACAGTGGCACTCTAATCCGAGGTGTAAATTGCAAGTGTCAAGGTCAATTAAGGTGTCTTGCACTTTATTTATATATTTCTCTACCACGTTCCCTCCACGTTTCCTACCAATGCGTGGCCCTTGCACTTGGATGATCTTGCAGGAGGGCAGCACGTGGATGGGCAGTTTAACGTTGGGTGACCTGACGTACAGCAACTTCCGGGAAATGGACCTGTACACGCGCTACTTCACGTCGCTCTACTGGTCTGTCATCACCATGGCCACCATTGGTCAGTGCTCTCCCTCCCATCGGTCAGTGCTCTCCCTCCCATCGGTCAGTGCTCTCCCTCGCAATGAGGATGCACATTCACCATTTTCCGCTGGTGATGGAGGGTCACCATCAGTGAGTGCAGTTTGAGTTGAGTGCTCATACGCCCGTATGAAGACCTTGAGGGCCGGAAGAGAGCCATCGGCGGTTGATTGGCAAGAAAGAGTATCATAAGCGGTGCGCATGCATGGCAGATTACCTGGTGCAAGCGGGGTACGATGACGGCAGCGGGCGCGTGATCGTAGAGGTGCTGACCATGCTGAACGGCAAGGATTTCTTGCGCATGGCAAAGTTCCTTCTCAAGCGCGTCGACCCGGGTCGACGCGCTTGAGAAGGAACTTTGCCATGCGCAAGAAATCCTTGCCGTTCAGCATGGTCAGCACCTCTACGATCACGCGCCCGCTGCCGTCATCGTATCCAGCCTGCACCAGGTAACCAGCCCCGCACTCGCACCGCTTCTGGTACTCCTTGGAAATCAACCGCCGATGGCCCTCTTCCGACCCGCTACCCACTCCCTCCCCTTGAGCATGCACCTTCACGGATTTCTGTTGTGCTCCATGGTCTCGCCACCGCCGAAGCTAATCGAGCGAGGACAGCTGCGGAGGACGTTGTTGTGCATGTCCTTTCCAGCTGTCCCCGCTCGATTAGCTTCGGCTGCTGTGCTTGCCTGGATCTCGCTCGATTAGCTTCGACTCGTCTTCCCACCCATTTCTTGCTGCATGTTGCCCCACCCGCCTTCCTTCTTATTTCCAGACTGTGGCGACATGTACGCAACCCATGAGCCGCAATAAATGCTCCTCCCACTCATTTGCTCCCTTCTGCTACCTATGCCTCATACCCCCCTCCCAGGGTACGGAGACGTGCATCCGGTGAACCCGCGCGAGATGGTGTTCGCCATGGCCTACATCTCCTTCGACCTTGTGCTCTCCGCCTACCTTGTTGGTGAGCCATCCCATCCCATGCCATCCCATGCCATGCCATGCCATGCCATGCCGTGCCATGTCATGCCATGCCATGCCGTGCCATGTCATGCCATGCCATGCCATGCCATGCCATGCCGTGCCGTGCCATGTCATGCCATGCCATGCCGTGCCGTGCCATGCCATGCCATGCCATGCCTTGCCATGCCGTGCCGTGCCATGCCATGCCGTGCCATGCCATGCCATGCCATGCCGTGCCGTGCCATGTCATGCCATGCCATGCCATGCCATGCCATGCCGTGCCGTGCCATGTCATGCCATGCCGTGCCATGTCATGCCATGCCGTGCCATGCCATGTCATGCCGTGCCGTGCCATGCCATGCCATGCCGTGCCATGCCATGCCATGCCATGCCGTGCCATGTCATGCCATGCCATGCTCTATGCACCCCCCCACCTCATCTCATCCTCTCTGTGAACATTGTTAGTGGGAAATTCCACCCTCTCCTGGTGGCACTTCATTGGGTTCGTTGTGCTGCCGCCAATGCCCCTTCAAGGGCCCAAGGAGGTCTGTATGCTGCTGTCGTTGTCCCTTATTCAGAGCTTACACACCATTGTGCCCTCACCTGACCATCGTCCTACACCCCATCGTGCGCTGATCTCACACCACGACGTGGCCTGGGCAGGCAGGCAACATCACAGCAATGGTGGTGGCGGGGTGTTTATGCTGCCGCCGTTGCCCCTTAACCTGCACTGCGCCGTACACACCGTTGGGCTCCATGTGCCCTGCACAGGCAACATCACGGCGATGGTGGTGCAGGGGTCCAACACGACACGGTACCACCATTGCCCCTTACCCTGCACCTCACACACCCCATTGCACCCCGTTGCACCCCATGGCACCGCATGCAGGCAACATCACGGCGATGGTGGTGAAGGGGTCCAACACGACACGGTACCGTGAGAAGATGTCCGCTCTCATCAAGTACATGAACCGCAACCACCTGCCACATGCTCTCAGGCAGCAGATGAGGCAGGTGCGAGGGGTGCGGGTGGGTGGGAGAGGGGTGGGAGTGGAGGTGAGAGAGAGATTTTGAAGGGAGAAAGGGATATGGAGGTGCTTGCTGCATGCTCGCAGCGTTCAGCCAATTTCCGTTCTCCTCTCTCATCCCATCCGTGCCCACGTGTGCACGTGCGTCTCCTAAGAGAGTGGGTTCAGGATAAGGGGATGAGGGTGTTTCTTCTCACGAATCTCTCTCCCCACATGTCCCAACCACCGCTCCATCTAGTTGATTCCTCCCACCCACCACGTCACCCACCCATCCACCACGGCTGCAGTTTAAGTCAAAGCAAGTGCAGGACGAGCGGATGGAGGAGGTTGGGTACCTTTCTCTCACCACCACTCTCTGCATCTCAGCATGCCCCATGCACCACTCCATCCATCTGGTCCCACCCATGGCCACACCAGCAAGTGCGGCTGCAGTTTGAGACGGAGCAAGTGGAGGACGAGGTGATGGAGGAGATGCAGGGGCTTTGCCCTCACCACCCTCACCCTCCGCACATTGCCCATCCACCACCCCTTTGGTGCATCACACCACCAGCACGTGAGGCTGCAGTTTGAGACGGAGCAGGTGGAGGACGAGGTGATGGAGGAGTTTCCTCTCAGCATCCGCCACAAGGTGGCGCGCGCCCTCTACCAGCGCGCCGTGGAGGCCTGCTACCTCTTCCACGGGTGCTCGGGGGAGTGCATCAACCAGATCGTGAGTGGTGCCGTGTGGTGTAGAATAGAGTGTTTGATTCTGAATTTGGAAACAACGTCTACCAGTGCTTCCTTCCCTTGCTGCCTGCTACCTCTTTCACACGTGCTGGGGAGCATCAGTCAATCAGATCGTGCATGGGGTGCTTGCAGGTGGCACACACGCCGTGCCCGAGTACTACTACCTGCTGGAGGTGCTCATTCACCCATGTACCCCCCCCTTGTTCCCTGCTCCTCCCATGCTGCTGCGTGGTGCTGGGCGGTGCTGTGTGGTGCTGTGCGGTCCCAACAGGTAGCACGTGCAGTGCCAGAGTACTACTACCCGCTGGAGGTGCTGATTCAGAAGAACGACACTATGCCCCCTGTCTCATGCTCTGCCCATTGTGTGCTGTGCGGTACGGTGTGGTGCGGTTCAGCGCCATGCCCCCTGTCTCACACTCCGGTGCCGCCCATGCTCCGCCCCCTGTTTCGACAGGTAGCGAGTGCAGTGCCCGAGTACTACTATCCCTTGGAGGTGCTCATTTAGCGATGTACCCCTCATTGCCTGCTCCTCCCATGCTGCTGTGTGCTGCTGTGTGCTGCTGTGTGCTGCTGTGTGCTGCTGTGTGCTGCTGTGTGCTGCTGTGTGCTGCTGTGTGCTGCTGTGTGCTTCTGTGTGCTGCTGTGTGCTGCTGTGTGCTGCTGTGTGCTGCTGTGTGCTGCTGTGTGCTGCTGTGTGCTGCTGTGTGCTGCTGTGTGCTGCTGTGTGCTGCTGTGTGCTGCTGTGTGCTGCTGTGTGCTGCTGTGTGCTGCTGTGTGCTGCTGTGTGCTGCTGTGTGCTTCTGTGTGCTGCTGTGTGCTGCTGTGTGCTGCTGTGTGCTGCTGTGTGCTGCTGTGTGCTGCTGTGTGCTGCTGTGTGCTGCTGTGCGCTGCTGTGCGCTGCTGTGTGCTGCTGTGTGCTGCTGTGTGCTGCTGTGCGGTCCCAACAGGTAGCGCGTGCAGTGCCAGAGTACTACTAGCCGCCGGAGGTGCTCATTCAGAAGAACGACGCCTTACCCCCTGTCTCACGCTCTGCTATGCTGTGCGATGCGTGCAGGTAGCGCGCGCTGTCCGCGGAGTACTACTACCCGCTGGAGGTGCTGATTCAGAAGAGCAGCAATGCACCCCCTGCCTCACACTCTTCCCATTGTGTGTTGTGCTGTGTGGTGCTGTGCTGTCCCAACAGGTAGCGCGCGCCACCCCCGAGTACTACTACCCACTGGAGGTGCTGATTCAGAAGAGCAGCAATGCACCCCCTGCCTCACACTCTTCCCATTGTGTGTTGTGCTGTGTGGTGCTGTGCTGTCCCAACAGGTAGCGCGCGCCACCCCCGAGTACTACTACCCGCTGGAGGTGCTCATTCAGAAGAACGACGCCGCAGAGCACATGTTCATCGTCTGCTCCGGCACCGTCCAGGAAGCTTCCTGCGTGTACGGCGAGGGGACGGACGACGAGCACTGGGCGACCCTCACAGCCGGCAATGTGGGTCGCGAGGACCTGCTGGGTTTGAGAGTGGCGGTTTCTAGCTGGGGATGTGCTGGGATGTACACATGCGGTCAAGGGCGAACACCTGTTCGCTTCGCCTCGAACATTTTCGAGACAAACCGAACATGCCTTTATTTTTGGCAAAAAATGTTCGGCCGAACATGTTCGATGGATTTGGTGGTACCGGGGAGGGGTAAGGGGGGGGGAGGAGGGAGGCGACGGGGGAGGAGCTGGCCCACTGAAAACACATTCTCAAACCCAAACATGTTCGGGTTCGACCCGATTCGCCCCGCACATGCAGATGTTCGCCCCGCTATCACGAACCTCGAACACCCCTAATCACCAAAAACTGTTCGGGCGAACCGAACGGCGAACCAAACATGTTTGGTCCCCCTCCTTTACATGTTCGTGGAGGTTCGCGCAAACATGTTTGGTGTTCGCCCGTTGCTCATGTCTACTGGGATGTGCTGGGATGTGTGGTCTGGTGGGGCATGTCAGCGGGCGCCCTGAGCAAGTGGTAGTTCTGCTGCTTATCCGCCACGGGTTGGCGTCTCTCCCCTTCCTCTCCCGTCCCTTGGTGTTTCTCATGGTCATTCCCCTTCTTCTCCTCGGTTCTCTCTTTGCATTGCACTCTCCTCGTGTCTCCATGTGTATCCATTTCTCTTCCCTCCCCCACCCCCTCCTTTCCCTCCTCCCTATGCGTCCCCCTTACCCAGATGTGTGGGGAGGTGGCGCTGCTGTGCAACATACTGCAGCCCTTCACAGTCACGGCCAAGGAGCTCTGCCAGGTGAGAGGAGGGTGAGAGGAGCGTGAGAGAGCTCTGCCAGGTGAGGAGCTCTGCCAGGTGAGGAGCTCTGCCAGGTGAGGAGCTCTGCCAGGTGAGCCACTCTCGTTGACTGTAACCGATGGAATGTGACAGTAAGCAGTCAAATTTGGCTGTAATATGCTGATATGTGACAGATAGGTAACTGAACTGTGATAGAAGTAGGTCGTACTGTGACTCGATTCTGTCGAGCTTTGCCTGCTGTAAGTTGAACTGTCTATATGAGGTTGAACAGTGACTGCGACTGGAAAAATACTAACGATAAAATAAAATTAGAAAAAATAACCACACACAAAAAAAGAGCAACAACAAAACCATGTGTGCTCACTCCATGCATGTGTGCTCACTCCATGCATGTGTGCTCACTCCATGCATGTGTGCTCACTCCATGCATGTGTGCTCACTCCATGCATGTGTGCTCACTCCATGCATGTGCGCTCACTCCAGGCATGTGCGCTCACTCCATGCATGTGTGCTCACTCCATGCATGTGTGCTCACTCCATGCATGTGCGCTCACTCCATGCATGTGTGCTCACTCCATGCATGTGCGCTCACTCCATGCATGTGTGCTCACTCCATGCATGTGTGCTCACTCCATGCATGTGTGCTCACTCTATGCATGTGTGCTCACTCCATGCATGTGCGCTCACTCCATGCATGTGTGCTCACTCCATGCATGTGTGCTCACTCCATGCATGTGTGCTCACTCCATGCATGTGTGCTCACTCCATGCATGTGTGCTCACTCCATGCATGTGTGCTCACTCCATGCATGTGTGCTCACTCCATGCATGTGTGCTCACTCCATGCATGTGCGCTCACTCCATGCATGTGTGCTCACTCCATGCATGTGTGCTCACTCCATGCATGTTTGCTCACTCCAGGCATGTGCGCTCACTCCATGCATGTGCGCTCACTCCATGCATGTGTGCTCACTCCATGCATGTGTGCTCACTCCATGCATGTGTGCTCACTCCATGCATGTGTGCTCACTCCATGCATGTGTGCTCACTCCATGCATGTGTGCTCACTCCATGCATGTGTGCTCACTCCATGCATGTGCGCTCACTCCATGCATGTGTGCTCACTCCATGCATGTGTGCTCACTCCATGCATGTGTGCTCACTCCGTGCATGTGTGCTCACTCCATGCATGTGTGCTCACTCCATGCATGTGTGCTCACTCCATGCATGTGTGCTCACTCCATGCATGTGTGCTCACTCCGTGCATGTGTGCTCACTCCGTGCATGTGTGCTCACTCCATGCATGTGTGCTCACTCCATGCATGTGTGCTCACTCCATGCATGTGTGCTCACTCCGTGCATGTGTGCTCACTCCGTGCATGTGTGCTCACTCCATGCATGTGTGCTCACTCCATGCATGTGTGCTCACTCCATGCATGTGTGCTCACTCCATGCATGTGTGCTCACTCCATGCATGTGTGCTCACTCCATGCATGTGTGCTCACTCCATGCATGTGCGCTCACTCCATGCATGTGTGCTCACTCCATGCATGTGCGCTCACTCCATGCATGTGTGCTCACTCCATGCATGTGTGCTCACTCCATGCATGTGTGCTCACTCCATGCATGTGTGCTCACTCCATGCATGTGTGCTCACTCCATGCATGTGTGCTCACTCCATGCATGTGTGCTCACTCCATGCATGTGTGCTCACTCCATGCATGTGTGCTTACTCCATGCATGTGTGCTCACTCCATGCATGTGTGCTCACTCCATGCATGTGTGCTCACTCCATGCATGTGTGCTCACTCCATGCATGTTTGCTCACTCCATGCATGTGTGCTCACTCCATGCATGTGTGCTCACTCCATGCATGTGTGCTCACTCCATGCATGTGTGCTCACTCCATGCATGTGTGCTCACTCCATGCATGTGTGCTCACTCCATGCATGTGTGCTCACTCCATGCATGTGTGCTCACTCCATGCATGTGTGCTCACTCCATGCATGTGTGCTCACTCCATGCATGTGTGCTCACTCCATGCATGTGTGCTCACTCCATGCATGTGTGCTCACTCCATGCATGTGTGCTCACTCCATGCATGTGTGCTCACTCCATGCATGTGTGCTCACTCCATGCATGTGTGCTCACTCCATGCATGTGTGCTCACTCCATGCATGTGTGCTCACTCCATGCATGTGTGCTCACTCCATGCATGTGTGCTCACTCCATGCATGTGTGCTCACTCCATGCATGTGCGCTCACTCCATGCATGTGTGCTCACTCCATGCATGTGCGCTCACTCCATGCATGTGTGCTCACTCCATGCATGTGTGCTCACTCCATGCATGTGTGCTCACTCCATGCATGTGTGCTCACTCCATGCATGTGTGCTCACTCCATGCATGTGCGCTCACTCCATGCATGTGTGCTCACTCCATGCATGTGCGCTCACTCCATGCATGTGTGCTCACTCCATGCATGTGTGCTCACTCCATGCATGTGCGCTCACTCCATGCATGTGTGCTCACTCCATGCATGTGTGCTCACTCCATGCATGTGTGCTCACTCCATGCATGTGCGCTCACTCCATGCATGTGCGCTCACTCCATGCATGTGCGCTCACTCCATGCATGTGTGCTCACTCCATGCATGTGTGCTCACTCCATGCATGTGTGCTCACTCCATGCATGTGCGCTCACTCCATGCATGTGTGCTCACTCCATGCATGTGTGCTCACTCCATGCATGTTTGCTCACTCCATGCATGTTTGCTTCCCCCGAACGCATGTGTGCATCCATGGGTGGGTGCATGCATGTGTGCTTACAGGTGCTGCGCATCGACCGCCAGTCCCTCTCTATAGTCACATCGCTCTTCATCGTGGATGGCCGCCGCATGGTGGACAACCTGCTGCAGGTGGGGGTAGATCCGTGCACACCCTTATTAGGTGGGGGTATTTCCGTGCACACCCTTATTACGTGGGGCTAAGTGCAGTGCACACTTTGATTAAGTGGGGGTAGATTAGTGCACACCCTTATTACGTGGGGCTAACTGCAGTGCACACTTTGATTAAATGGGGGTAGATTAGTGCACACCCTTATTAGACACGTCTAGATAGTTGCACACCCTTATTAAGTGGTGCGAGATTTGTACACACCTTTATTAGGTGGGGCTAGATCCGTGCATACCGTTTTTAGATGGGGCTAGATAAGTGCGCACCCTTACGACGTGAAACCAGAAAAGAGCACAAGCTGATTGCGAGTCCACGCCCATTGCACCCGTCGCTCACGTGACACTTCACACACAGCGCTCAGAGGAGGTGGGCAGCAAGTTTGAAGGGCTAGCAGCAGAGATAGAGGTGCTGGTGGCAGCACCGTGCACGGCACACCACGCCATGTGCATATGACCCCACTCTTATGTCATTGCACCCTCCCCTTCCCTCACATGACCCGCAGCGCTCAGAGGAGGCGGGCAGCAAGTTTGAAGGGATGGCGGCGGAGATAGAGGCGCTGGTGGCGGCACAGGAGGCGGACCTGACAGTGAGCACCATCTATGCCGCGTGTGTCTCACTTGTGGACATGACCCCACTCCCATCCCATTGCACCCTTCCCCAACAGCGGTCGGAGGAGGCGGGCAGCAAGTTTGAAAGTCTGGCGGCGGAGATAGAGGCGCTGGTGGCGGCACAGGAGGCGGATCTGACAGTGAGCACCATCTATGCCGCGTGGACAGGGGACATGGCTCAGCTGCAGCAGCTGCTGGCAGCCGGGGCCAAGGCGGATAGGGCTGACTACGATGGTCGCACCCCTCTGGTAGGGCCGCCTCGGCTTGTCAGATGGGATCTGGCTGGGCTAGGTTTGAGACGGGCTTAGGCTAGGCTGGGTTGCTGGCACTGGCAGCGCAGTGAGCACCATCTATGCCGCATTGCCGCGAGGACGGGCGACATGGCCCAGCTGCAGCAGCTGTTGGCCGCTGGGGCCAAGGTGGATACAGCTCACTACGACGGCCGCACACGCCTGGTAGGGCTGCCTTGGGCTGATTTTTGGTTTTTTGCAACTTTTTTCGCTTCGCATGCGTGTGTGTATGTATGATTGCCAGCGCCCCTTCCCTCCCTCCCTCCCTCCCTCCCTCCCTCCCTCCCTCCCTCCCTCCCTCCCTCCCTCCCTCCCTCCCTCCCTCCCTCCCTCCCTCCCTCCCTCCCTCCCTCCCTCCGTTCCTTCCTGCGGCCTTTCCCTCCCTCCCCACCTCCCCCCCTTCCATCACAGCACCTGGCAGCAGCGGGGGGGCACAACGACCTGGTGCGGCAACTGCTGCTGGAGGGGGAGAGCAGGTCAACAGCTCTCATCCGATCCTCTCATCACCTTGCAACCTCGTATCTCCCTCCCTCCTGCCCTCCCCTCCCATCCCACTGCCTGCCTCCATCACAGCACCTGGCAGCGGCGGGGGGGCACAACGACCTGGTGCGCTTGCTGCTGCTGGAGGGCGCGCAGGTGAGCGCGGTGGACAACTTCGGCACCACGCCGCTGCTCGAGGCACTCAGAGCGGGCCACGATGAGACCGCCGCCATTCTGGCCAGCAAGGGAGGCACCGTGGGGCTGCAGGTGCGTGCTTGGGTGGATATCCAGTTGAGCTCTTGCTTTGGTTCTGCTCATGTCGTGAAGCAAGCTTGGTGCCACGCTTCTGCTGGATATGCCGTGATGAGGTGAGGGTGGGCCATGTTGAGAACCCTCAAAAGGGCCGTCATGGGCCTGCCGCCTCTGTCTCTCCCTCCTCCCTCTGTCTTAGGGTTGAGCAAGAGGCGAACACGAACGTGTTCGCGTTCGCCCCTGCACGAACACTGCCGTGTTTGAATCTATATATTATAGCATGCGAACACTTGTAACTGTACACCAAGAGTGGTGTACAGTTGGGTTGGTTCAGGCCCTAGTTTTGGGTGTACTGCGGGTAGACACCCTAATTGGGGTGAACCCAAATATCCTAGTTTAGACTTGGCTCCAACCTTGTTGGCCAAGTGGGGCAACCAACTTTGGTTGGTTGGCCACCATCCCACTAGGGTTGGTTGGATGGTCCTTCCTCCCACTAGCCTACTTGGTCTTGGTGTCTTATGTGCTAGGTTTGGTGTTCTTCTCCAACCTTCTCTATATCCTTGTGCTCTCTTGAGCTTATCTTATCAATTCTTCCTCAAGTTCCATAGCTCCTAGTTTCTTTCATGGTATTCAGAGCCTAAGGCAAACACCCTAGATCCTAGGCCTACTCAACCAAGTATTACCTTTTTTTTTACATCTCCCACCTTCTCGTCGCGTAATTCCTTCCTTCAGTCACGCCGGTCAAGTTCACCGTGCGAAATCCTTCCCTGCAGTCCGCACGGCCACATTTCACCGTGCGAAATCCTTCCCTGCAGTCCGCACGGCCACATTTCACCGTGCGAAATCCTTCCCTGCAGTCCGCACGGCCACATTTCACCGTGCGAAATCCTTCCCTGCAGTCCGCACGGCCACATTTCACCGTGCGAAATCCTTCCCTGCAGTCCGCACGGCCACATTTCACCGTGCGAAATCCTTCCCTGCAGTCCGCACGGCCACATTTCACCGTGCGAAATCCTTCCCTGCAGTCCGCACGGCCACATTTCACCGTGCGAAATTCTTCCCTGCAGTCCGCACGGCCACATTTCACCGTGCGAAATCCTTCCCTGCAGTCGCACGGCTTCATTTGACCGTCGCGAAGTACCTCCCTGCAGTCGCACGGCTCTGTTAGACCGTCGCGTCACCTCTGCAGGCAGCCGCGGAGACCCCTCTGACCGTCGCGTCACCTCTGCAGGCAGCCGCGGAGACCCCTCTGACCGTCGCGTCACCTCTGCAGGCAGCCGCGGAGACCCCTCTGACCGTCGCGTCACCTCTGCAGGCAGCCGCGGAGACCCCTCTGACCGTCGCGTCACCTCTGCAGTCAGCCGCGGAGACCCCTCTGACCGTCGCGTCACCTCTGCAGGCAGCCGCGGAGACCCCTCTGACCGTCGCGTCACCTCTGCAGGCAGCCGCGGAGACCCCTCTGACCGTCGCGTCACCTCTGCAGGCAGCCGCGGAGACCCCTCTGACCGTCGCGTCACCTCTGCAGGCAGCCGCGGAGACCCCTCTGACCGTCGCGTCACCTCTGCAGGCAGCCGCGGAGACCCCTCTGACCGTCGCGTCACCTCTGCAGGCAGCCGCGGAGACCCCTCTGACCGTCGCGTCACCTCTGCAGGCAGCCGCGGAGACCCCCCCTCTGACCGTCGCGTCACCTCTGCAGGCAGCCGCGGAGACCCCTCTGACCGTCGCGTCACCTCTGCAGGCAGCCGCGGAGACCCCTCTGACCGTCGAGCAGCAGCGTGACTGGACAGCAGCAGCAGCGGGACTGGACAGCAGCAGCAGCGTGACTGGACAGCAGCAGCAGCGGGACTGGACAGCAGCAGCAGCGTGACTGGACAGCAGCAGCAGCGTGACTGGACAGCAGCAGCAGCGTGCCTGGACGGCAGCAGCAGCGTGACTGGACAGCAGCAGCAGCAGCGTGCCTGGACAGCAGCAGCAGCGTGACTGGACAGCAGCAGCGGCAGAGCTGCACGGTGGCAGCAGGACTCGTGACAGGAGCGACAGTCATGGCGACTGACTCCGTGCCTATTGACACCGGATCCATCGTTCGCCTCGAGGTCCAGGACGGCACTACCGCACTGAATTGGCACCGTTTCTCACAGAGCCTCACCGGCGTCCTCCGCTCCACCATTGTGGGCGGCTTTAACCTCTACTCCGTTGTCTTCGCTGAACCGGATGGCCTTGGGCCCACCCCACCTTCCCTCCTTGGTCTTGAACCTCCTCCTCCTCCACCCCATCCTGGCGAAGCACCTCGCCCGCCCGATCTCCCTCGCCTCGTTTCTGACAACACCATCAATGCCTCGCGCCTCACCACCTACGCGGAGGAGGTGGCGACACACACGCGACTGGTGGATACTCACAAGGCAGCCCTTGCTGCTCACACCACGGCCGCTGCCCTTCAAGCGCAGTACACTGCTGATCAGACGTCGTACACCTCCCAGCTGACTGATTTCAAGTCTCGCCATGCCGCCTGGTGCATTGCCGACACTCGGGCTATCGGCCTCATCAACTCCTGCATCCCGACCTCGCTCCAAAGCGAGCTTGACGCCACTTCCTCTGCAGTTCTCTGGCGCGCTCTCTGTGACATGTATGACCGCCGGGACATGGCATCTCTTCATGCCCTCTACCGTGACTTCAACGCTATCACCCTTGACAACTGCACCGGCGCAGCTGACTATACCCGTCGCCTCAACAACACGGCTCGGCGTCTTCGGGAGCGTGGGGCCACTATTGACGACCCCCTCCTCATTTGGCGCATCCTCGAAGGACTCACCCCGGCCTATGAGATGCACCGCATCGCCTACGACATTGTTCTCTCTCCCCACGCCACGGCTGCCGACGTCACCACATGGGTCCTTGATACTGAAGCCAAGCTTACCCGCCAGTCCCCCTCCACCCTCAACTTCACACAGGGACGCGGAGGACGTGGGGGGCGTGGTGGCAAGGGTCGTGGTGGGGGGAGTGGCGGAGGCGGTGGTGGTCGAGGTGGAGGGGCTGGCGGTGGCGCTCCAGGTGGGACGCCGGGAGGTGATGGGGGTGCTGGTCGCAGTGGACGCTCAGGGGGTTTCCCTCCTTGCTCCTATGTCATTCGACAGGGCCCCAACAAGGGCCACCGCTGCAACCAAACCACCCATCCTGCTGAAACCTGCTTCAAGGCCCTCAGTGATGAGTGGTTTGCTCGGGGCAACACAGGTACCCCTCCTCGATGGGCCACTGTTACCCCTCGCCCCACTGTTCATGACGTTCGGACATTTCCCGCCTATCAGCCACCACCTTCTCAGCTCCACCAGACTCTGGCGAGTCACCTGCCTCCCCACCTCCTGCACCAGGTACAAGTCTTTCTCCCCCCCCTTCCAGACCCGCAGCCTCAGCAGCAGCAGCAGCTGATGCACCCGGGGTTCCAGGGCCTTCCGCCTATGCAGCAGCAGTACCTGGGGCCACAGCATCACCCGGGATTCCTGGGTCCCCCCCTCCTCCCTTATCCTCCCCAGCCACAGCACCCCCTTCTTCAGCAGCAGCCATACCTTGGCTACCCCTCTGCCCCCCCCAGTGTCTCTGACACCCACGGCAGTTTCCTTGGTCATGTTACCGTTGCACCCTCTGCCGCTTCCATGTATCCCTCTGCTATTAATGAGACGCTTTTCCAGTACCCCGTGTCACCTCCCCCTCCTTCCTCCCCCACCTTGGACTTTGTCCTTGATAGTGGGGCCACAGAAACCGCACTGAAGGATGCTGGCACCCTCACTCCCCTTCCTCTTCCCACTCAGGTACACGGTGCCGACACCAGTTTTTCCATCCCATGCACTCACCTCTCCACTCTACCTTGCACCGCTTTCCCATCTGGTACTGTCACAGGTCTCCACATCCCCACCCTTCGCAACAACCTCCTCTCCCACCGTGAGATACAAGGCGCTGGCATTACCGCTATTTACCCTGGTAATGCCTCTTACTGTGATCTCTACAACACTGCTTCTGGCCGCTTCCTCCTACGCATTCCCCTTTGTCCTCGCACTCGCCTTTACACGCTCCGCACACCTCGTCCCTCCTTTTGTCAGGTGACCACTCGTGCTGGCACTTCCACCGGCCCCCCTCCCCCTCCCCCTACCCCTCCCCCCAGGTATCCTCCTCCCCTACGTCATCCCCCTCATCCTCCTCCCCCTCTCCTTCCCCCACTCCATTCCCCTCCTCCTCTAGTCACCTCTCCCACCCTGCTGTGCTCTTGCATCACAGATTAGGCCACCCAAACTTCGCTGCACTTCGCACTGCCATCACATCCCGCCTCCTCGACAGCCTCCCCCCCACTCTCCCTCCCCTCCCTTCCTCCCCCGCACCCCCATGCCCATCCTGCATTCATGGCAAACTCAAACAGTCTCCCCATCACAGCCATCCCACTTTCGCAGCTGCTCCCCTTTACCTTGTTCACATGGACCTGTGGGGCCCCTATCCCATCCGCCCTTGCCAGGGGCACCGATACATGCTCGTTCTCGTCGACGACCACAGTCGGTACTCTACTGTCTTCTTCCTTCACACGAAGGATCAAGTGCCGGCTGTGGTCATTGCCTGGGCTGAGCAGTGCCGCACACACTTTAAACGCCCCATCAGCCGCCTTCACTCTGATGGTGGGGGTGAGTTCCTCAATCATACCCTCGCCACTTACTGCAAAACCCGTGGCATTCAGCAGACCCACACCCTCCCCCATTTCCCTCAGTAGAACGGCATCGCTGAGAGTCGCATTCGTGAGATCACCAAGATTGCTCGTTGCCTTCTTGCTCACGCCTCCACCCCTCCTTCCCTCTGGAGCTATGCCCTCCTCCATGCTGCCCTCCTCCTTAATCTCCGCTCCCACCCTCAGCATTCCTCCTCCTCCCCCACAGAACTTTGGTCTAAGGCCAAGCCTGACGCTGCTGGCCTTCGCGTTTGGGGCTGCAAGGCGTTCGTCCTCATCCCTCCGGCCGATCGCTCCCGCGCTGCTGGCAAGCTCGCCCCTCGCGCTCTGGAGTGCGTCTACCTTGGGCACAATCGCGATTCCCCAGGCTACCTATTCCTCCACCCTCCCACCAATCGCCTCATCCGCAGCATCGACGTCGTCTTCGACGAGTCCACTCCCTACTACTCCACTCCTCCTCCTGACCCTCTCCCTCCTCCCACTCGCCCCCTCGCTTGGACCGACACCGTCATCCCGCCTCTTCTCCCTCCAGCGCCTCTCCTCCCCCCTGTCGCCGCCCCGCTCCCGCCTTCCTCCTCTGCCGACGTCTACGACCCTGCCGCACCCGCCTCCCCCGCTCACTCAGCTGCACCCCCTCCCCCCTCTCCCTCCTCCTCTCATTCTCCCCCTTTACAGCAGCCGGATCAGCAGCAGCATCAGCAAGGGCAGCAGTAGCAGCAGCAGGGGCAGCAGCAGCAGCAGCAGCCGGGGCAGCAGCAGCAGCAGCAGCCGGGGCAGCAGCAGCAGCAGCAGCCGGGGCAGCAGCAGCAACAGCCACCGGGACAGCAGCAGCAGCAGCAACAGCCACCGGGACAGCAGCAGCAGCAGCAGCAGCAGCAGGGGCAGCAGCAGCAGCGACGCGCAACTTCCCGCTCCTCCCCTTTCCTCCTTCCTCGCATGCACACCCGCTCCCTGGACAGACTTATTGGAGCCCCTCCTCCCGCCTCCATTCAGCTCCTCGAGGACTCCCATGAGGAGGAGTTCCTCAACATTCGGCAACACACACCTTTCCTTGCCTCCCTCTACCTTGACTTCCTCGGCTTTCCCGTCCTTGGCGCCACCTCCACCCCAACCATCTTCACTCCCACCACCTTCCAAGAGGCCATCACCTGCCCTGACGCGGACAAATGGATAGCGGCGATCTTCTTGGAGTGTGAGGCATTTATTCGCAACGACTCCTTTGTCGATGTCCCCCTCCCAGCCGACGCCAACCTCGTCGAGGGCAAATGGGTCTTTCGGGTGAAGCAGCTGCCGGGCGAGGAGCCGGTTTACAAGTCACGCTACTGCGCCAAGGGTTTTACGCAGACTTGGGGCAAGGATTTCTGGTTCACCTACGCCCCCACCGCCAAACCACCCACCTTTCGCGCAGCCCTTGACATTGGCGCACGTGACAACATGGAGATATGCTCCATGGACGTCTCCAATGCGTTCCTGCAGGGCGACCTGCACGAGCGCATCTTCCTCAGACGGCCCCCTGGGTTCCATGCTGCCTTTCCTGAGAACACCGTCTGGCAGCTGCGTCGCCCTGTCTATGGCTCGAAGCAGGCGCCAAGGGAGTGGCACGCGAAGCTGTCTGCCACTCTGGGGTCCCTCGGCTTCTCTGCATCCCACTCCGATGCCAGCCTCTTCATTCGCTCCTCCCCTCGCCGCTTCTTCATTCTGGTGTATGTGGACGACATGATTCTCCTTTCTGACTCCAAGGCTGACATGGAGCAGATGAAGATGTCACTGCAGCAGCATCTCAAATGCAAGGACCTGGGCGACCTCACGCACTACCTAGGCATGACCATCACGCGCGACCGCCCTGCTCGCACCATCACCCTCTCCCAGTCCCACTACATCGGCCAGGTCTTGGAGAAGTTCGAGATGGCGCAGGCCAAGCCCGTGTCCACCCCCCTCCCTTTCGGCCACCAGCTCGCTCCGCCCACTTCTCCCTCCACCTCCCCTCACCCCTATGCCGAGCTCGTTGGGTCGCTGATGTACGCAATGATGTGCACCCGCCCCGGCCTCGCCTACCCCATTAGCGTGCTCGCACGCTTTGTTGGCACCGGTCGTCACACTGAGGAACATTGGAAGGCTGCTAAGCGGGTCCTCCGCTACCTTCGTGGGACCAAGGACCGTGTCCTCACCCTTGGCGGCCCCTCCCCTCCTCTCCTTTCGGGCTTCAGTGATTCCTCATGGGCTGACTCGCAGCCGGACCGCCGCTCCTCTCAGGGCTACGGTTTCACACTTGGCAGCGGCCTTATCAGCTGGCGCTCCACCCGCTCCTCTGCCATTTCTCTCTCCACCTGCAAGGCCGAGCTCTACGCTGGCACCATGGCCGCCCAGGAGTCACGCTGGCTCTGCTTTCTTCTTGCCGAACTTGGCGCCCCCCAGCCGTGCCCCACACTCTGGTGTGACAACGCCAGCACCATCCACCTCACTCAAGATCCCGTCTATCACGCCCGCTCCAAGCACATCGAGCTCCGCTACTTCTTCATCCGCGAGCTCGTCCAGCAAGGCCTCATTTCAGTTCGGAAGATTGCGGCGGAGGCCAACTTGGCCGACATCTTCACCAAGGCCCTCCTTCGCCCTGCGCACTCTGCTTTCCTCCGTCTCATTGGCCTTGCTCGCCCGGGCGCCCCTTGATTCAGGGGTTGTTCTCTTCATGTGTTCGCATGCTAAGGGGTTGTGTTTGAATCTATATATTATAGCATGCGAACACTTGTAACTGTACACCAAGAGTGGTGTACAGTTGGGTTGGTTCAGGCCCTAGTTTTGGGTGTACTGCGGGTAGACACCCTAATTGGGGTGAACCCAAATATCCTAGTTTAGACTTGGCTCCAACCTTGTTGGCCAAGTGGGGCAACCAACTTTGGTTGGTTGGCCACCATCCCACTTTGGTTGGTTAGATGGTCCTTCCTCCCACTAGCCTACTTGGTCTTGGTGTCTTATGTGCTAGGTTTGGTGTTCTTCTCCAACCTTCTCTTCCTTGTATATCCTTGTGCTCTCTTGAGCTTATCTTATCAATTCTTCCTCAAGTTCCATAGCTCCTAGTTTCTTTCATGCCGTTCGCCCCTGCACGAACACTGCCGTTCGGCGAACCGAACGCTTCAGCAAAAAAAGGTGTTGGCCGTCCGCCTGTGAAGGCGAACACCTTGCTGACGCAGGCGAACACGAACGTGTTCGTGGCAAACACGTTCGTGTTCGTGGCAAACACGTTCGTGTTCGCCCTGAGGACAGCATTCTTTATAATCACAGGGATTGTGGATTGGGGCAAATTCAATGTTGGGTACGCAGCTTTGTAGTGTTATGGCGCCAATACTAGTTTAGGGCGCCAGCCATCCTTAGACTAGACTAACCTAAGTAGACTTACTATTTTCGCTAAGTCCTATTGGAAGAGGTGTTAATGGCGTGATGTGTGAGGGGCGTGGTTGTAATGCCTGCTGCTGCATAGCGCGACTATGTTTGAGCTCAAACAGTTTGTCCCGCAACCTAAATTTCAGATCGCGGGAACTTCCCAACGAACAAATGCATGTTCGTTTTTGCCCCCAAACAAACACAAACGTGGCCATGGTGATGCCTCAAGCTGCATCGGCGTAAGCCTCTGTCTCTCCCTCCTGCCTCTGTCTCTCCCTCCTGCCTCTGTCTCTCCCTCCTCCCTCTCTCTCTCCCTCCTGCCTCTGTCTCTCCCTCCTCCCTCTCTCTCTCCCTCCTGCCTCTGTCTCTCCCTCCTCCCTCTCTCTCTCCCTCCTGCCTCTGTCTCTCCCTCCTCCCTCTCTCTCGCCCATGTCTTTCTCTCTATGTGCCGTGTGGCGCAGTGTTCTCACTGCATCTGCACCCCTGTGTCCCCATGACACCACACGCACAGGAGGCCGGGCCAGTGCTATGTGCAGCGGTGGCAGCAGCGGACACGGACCTGCTGCAGCGCCTGCTGTCCCATGGGGTGCATCCCAGCGCCTCTGACTACGACCAGCGCTCCCCGCTGCACATCGCTGCCATCAAGGGCCACCTGCACGTTGCCCGCCTCCTCGTGGACCACCACGCTGACGTGGCGGCCCGTGATAGGTGCGTGAGGCCCCCGCAGATTCTGTGCAGCTGGGGGTTCCCATGCGCGATAGGTGCATGTGCAAAGCGGGGCTTTGGGTCAGCTTCCGCCCTCCATGCCTCCCCATCCCATACCATGCTTTGCCCTCTTCTTCATGTCTCTCCATGTCTCTCCATGTCTCCCCTTCATGACCCATCCCTCCCATTGTCCCCTTGGTGCCTCCCCTTCGTCCTGCATCAACCTCCTGGCAGGTGGGGAAGCACTCCATTGGACGAGGCTCGCCGATGTGGCAGTCTGCCATTGGTGCGCTTTCTGGAGGAGGTGGGGGCGCGTCAGGCCAGCCGAGCACACTCTGCCGTCCCTCCAACAGCCGTTGCTGGCGCAACATCTGCTGCTGCTACTGCTGCTGCTGCTGCCACTGCTGCTGCCACCACTGTTGCTGCTCCACCCCTTTCCCCTCCTACCGCTTCCGCCCTATCCACATCTGCCGCCCTATCCACATCTCCCGCCCTATCCACATATGCCGCCCTATCCACATCTGCCGCCCTGTCCACATCTGCCGCCCTATCCACATCTGTCGCCCTATCCACATCTGCCGCCCTGTCCACATCTGCCGCCCTGTCCACATCTGCCGCCCTGTCCACATCTGCCGTCCCATCCGTCCCATCCGCGGACTCACCTGACCACGGCACTAACCAGACCACGGGGCAGGCAGCAGGCTGTGATGCACGTGGGAAGGGTAAGGGGGGGGAGCTTGCATTGGGGCCAGGTGGCAGTGAAGAGGAGGGTGGGAGGGAGCTTCGTAGGGAGGTGGGTGTGGGAGAGGAGGCGGGGAGGGTGGGTGATGGGGGGAAGGAGCAGGAGACAGTTGCGCAAGGATGACATGCATGCATCGATTGGGATTGGGACAGGTGCAAAGCGGTGATGGCACATGGTGCAGCGGTCCAGGGATGGAAGATGCATTTGGCATGCAATGGTAAACTGAGTATAGAACCATGTGGGACCAGTCAGTAAATTCTAGGTGGATGTGTACAGAAGGATGTGTTACGAACTAGCCAACGGGAGAGGCTAACAGTCAAGTTAGTAAGAGCTTTTGAATCATACAACAGCTGCAGTACTCTTCGCTTTTGTTCCTTCCTGTTCCACTACAATGAGTCTCCACCTTTGAGCTTACCGGTACATTGTCAATAAGGTGGCCCGTCGTACAAGCGTACCCGTACCTGTACCGTATCGCCCCGGATATAACCGCAGGCCTATTAAAAGCGCATGCGCTTATATCTGGAGCAATGCGCTTATGGCCGATCCTCGATTAGAAGCGCACCCCTTATAAAATCGTTACTTATTATAAGCGCACCCTTGCTTTAAATAAATAAATATATATATATACTTGTTGAATTATTGTCATTATTGTTAGAGCTAAAGCAAGGCTAGCCTTCATTAGTTGTAATTTTGCACTAGCTAAAAGTTTCACATACAATAGAGTGACTATTGTCCTAGCCTAAACACCATCATCTTGCCTAGTCTAGCCTTAGGCCTGCTCTACCTCTTCGTCCGATTCAGGCTCCGTGGCGTTGTTGCCCCAGAACCCGTCTGCTTGGATGTCGTCGTCTACCTCTACCTCGTGGCTCAGCTGGCTTCTCCGGTGCGCCATCGCCAGATGGTCTTCGCTCCCGTCAAGGGCATTGCTGATGCCGCACGTGAGGAAGGCTTTCTTAATCAAGTCGGCGGGCACGGCCTTCCACGCCCGTGAAATCCACTTGAGCACCACCGCCGGGGGTGGTTTCTTGATGTTTCCTGCACCACAAGAAAGGGAGTGCGGAACACATTAGTCCACAAGCAGGCAGACAAGCACAAGAAGGGGAGACGGGAGGACATGTCGTCGCTCACCTGCAGGTGTCAGAATGTTCATGCCGTCCGCCTCAAACCAGGGTTGGTACTGCTGGCGAACACTCGCTTTGAAGCTCTTGTTCACCGACACATCGAGCGGCTGGACGTCTGCAGTGCACCCCGCCGGGATGACCGCCGGCACGATGTTGAGCGCCGCGAATCCCGCCTTGACTTCCTTGGTAAGGTGACCACGGTAGGAGTCGAGTAATAGCATGGCGCTCCGACTCTGCACGCCAAATTTCGGTTTCAGGAACGGTACCACGCCCTCATCGAGCCACTGGATGACGCCCGTGGCCTCCATCCACCCGTTCTCTTGGCAGCCGACCACGACATCTGCAAACAAGCAAGCGGGGGTGAATCCCTTTATTGTTTTGAACGTCTAAAACACGCACAAGAACATGTGCTTACCGTTCGGGAAGTCACCCTTTGGCAGTGTCTTGCGCTTGAAAAACACCCACGGCTTCAACTTCTCGCCCGTCGCCGTGCACGCCAGCATCACGGTGACTCTTTCTTTCTGGTAACCACCGCTGCGGATGGGCACCGACTTCACGCCCGTCTGCTCCACGGTGGTAGTGGCCGGCATCTCGAACCAAAGAGGTGTCTGGTCGGCGTTGATTATGTATCGATTGTCGATCGCGTACTCGTTGCGTGCGTCGCGGACGAACTGCCAAAATTCTTTGCACTGCGTCGCCACGTCTGCGCACGGGGAGGGAAGGACAGATAGGAAGAAGGATGAGTACCGCTACAATATAAAGATATTCACACGGGAGCAACAACTCTTAAACCATGCGAATTCGCGCGAGGTAAGCGTGAAACGAGGCACTTACGTTCCTGTGTTTTCTGCGCCACCTTAGTTTTCATGCGCACGCTGAGGTTCCACCGCTTGCGGAACCGCTCCGACCATCGCTGACTCCCTTTCCACTTGACTTCCGGGAACAGCACCTTCATCACCTCGCGTGACCAATCTTGGAGCCGGCCGACTGAAACTGCCACACCGCGGCGTCGCCAGTCGAGGAGTTGTGCGTACACCTTTAACTCCATGGGTCTGTACCAAGAAGACCTCCCGCGCCCATGAAGTCGACACCGTGCGGCGTGTGAAGCCTTGAGCTCCTCCGCTTGGGTTTTCCACTCCGTCAGACATTTGCGGTGTATGCCAGACTCCCCTCGCTTATCGATGCCGCCAGCTCCAGCCGCACGAGCCACCTGAGTTTCTCCTGGGCGGTGTAGGACTGCCGTTTATGTTGAGACGGCTTGTGCCTGGGAGAGGGGGGGCGGGCATCTCGGTTCTCGGAGGAGGGGTGGGGTCGTTTTTTGTTAATCGGCGGATACGTCGGTATCGGCATCTTCTCGCGTGGTGCGTCGCGCCACCATGACTCCACACCGTCGTCGTCCTCGGCAGTTGCACCACGATCTGGGAACACGTCCTCCTCGGCGCCCGCTTCACCGTCGCCTCCACCGTCGCCGTCGCCGCTGTTTTGTTTATCGGCGGCCACGTCATCGTCGACGCCCACAGCCAACTCGTCCCACGTGCAGGCTTGAGGCCGTCCCCACCGTGGTGCAGGCGGCGGAGCATGGATGAACACATCGGGGGGCTTGGGTGTGTCCGGTTCAGACAGCCACTCGTCGAAAGTGGCTGGTAAATACAGCTGGAGCACGGGCCGTTGGTGAGCACTGGCACCGATATCAGGCGGATTTGGAGGAGCGGGAGGAGTGGGAGGAGCAGGAGGAGCAGGAGGTGCAGGAGGAGCAGGAGGAGCAGGGGGCGCAGGGGGTTCAGGTGGCACTGAAGGCGCTGCTGGCTCACCGGTATACCACTCGTCGTCGGTAAGTCGCCACGGGCGAGCTGGTTTTTTCTTGAAGAGGAAGTGCGTCCCGCTGAATTCCGCCATGGCTTCGCCAGCCAGGCGGCCTAGACTGGAATCTGAATGAAAGAAAATGAGAAAGAGGGTGCACAAATGGGCAACGAAGGGGACCCCGTAAGGTTGGCGCCTCGGGGTCCTCGTCAATGACAGGCGGGAAACCCCCGCCTACCCCCGTGGAGGACCCTGCGTGGCAGCATAAACGCTGCGCTGGCAGGGAATCTTCCCCACCCTTTGAGAGGGTTCGGAAGAAATGCATATGCCACGCAGCGCATGCGGCTGTGATTGGGCTGCACGGCAACATCCCCGTCACTGCTGTCACGTTCGATGGTTCTAGACAAAACCGTGCGGTGGGAAACCGAACCACTGCTGTTTGTCAGTAGGTCTGCACTGTGGATGCCCGATTGATCCTAGGGGGGGTTACAGGCGCGTTCGCCTGGGGGGTTATGGGCGCACAAACCCGCTACACAAACAAGCCCTTTTATCCCAATGCTCTAGTGGTTGGGATTCTGACATGGTATCAGAGCGGTCTCGGGTTCGAATCCCGGTGTATGCACAAGTAGGCCGTTGCCGCTGTGCTCAGTCCTGGGCCTCCCAGTGTGGGGGGTGTCAGTAGATCTGCACTGTGGATGCCCGATTGATCCTAGGGGGGGTTACAGGCGCGTTCGCCTGGGGGGTTATGGGTGCACAAACCCGCTACACAAACAAGCCCTTTTATCCCAATGGTCTAGTGGTTGGGATTCTGACACTGTTTTTTCCTGAAAACCATGCACGATCCCACGTGTTGCATGGTCGGTTGAATTCGCCTTATTGCGGGCTTCAATTTGGTATGTTTAAAAGTGAATTTTTTTTTTTCCTATTACAGGTGCATGCGCTTATACAAATGACTCAATTAGAAGCGCACCCCCCTAAAAAACACTTTTTTATTATAAGCGCACATGCGCTTCTATCCGGGGTAATACGATATGTCAGTAAAATCTGTAAATTCTGGTTTTTTCCTGTAAATTAGGGGGGTTTGCCATGTCGTGAGTGATTTTGTTCACCTTTGGTTCAGTATAAACTGAGAACTAACTAGGCCTGACCTGCCCTAGGTTTTGCCTTTATGGCAAAGCTGAACTACAGAAATTCAATAAACAGCACGGGATTTGTCAAATATACTAGGAGTACGACCTAGGCTTAGTAGCCTAGGCCACAGTAAGACTACGAAAGGAGGCGCCAAGTAGGAGCTAGGAATGTGTGCACGAACAGAAATGAGGAAGGAAGGAATGATTGAACTAGCAAGCAGCAGGATACAAATAGCAAACCCTAAGGGGCTGTACTCACTATTGAGTACCCCACTGCAGGCTACACAAACAACATATTCTGACACACCCCCATAGCCAAAGTGGGGTGTAATCAGCACAATGAGCAGTCATAGCAATAGTTCACAATTAATGAGCAGGGCTAGAGGCTATCACAGAGGGCAAGTGAGGAGGAGGAGGGACTGTGAGAGGAGAGAAGATGGGAGGCGACGACTGAAGCTGCAGACACACGGGCAACAGAAGCGGCTGACACAGTGGCGGCTGACACAGTGGCTACCGAGGCAAGGGCCCCGGACTACTGGAGTAACTGGCTCTGCGGCTACGACGAGCGGCAGAAGCAACGGACCCACGGGCGACTGGTGCAGCAGGCTCTCTGAGCTACCGAGGCAAGGGCCCCGGAATACAGGAGTAACAGGCTCTGCGGCTGCGACGAGCGGCAGGAGCAACGGACCCACGGGCAACAGGTGCAGCAGGCTCTCTGAGCTACCGGCGACAAGGGCCTCGGAATACAGGCGCTGCGGACGACACGACGGCTGCCTCCACTCAACCTCCCCCAGCTGTCCCACACCCCCCTACACACACACCCAGTTTCACCCCTAGCTCCACTCCCACATCACCCCCCTAGCTCCACTCCCCACGGCTCCCACACCTCCACCCCCCCCCGCAGCGGCAGCTGCAGCAGTGGGAGACGAAAGAGGAGGAGGGGAAAGGGAAGGGGAAAGCCCACACCTCTCACCCCCATGCTCGCCACCCCACCCCCCAACCACCGCGGAACACACGGCAGAACGGGAGAATGGGCAGCACGGGGGGGGGGGGAGGATGGGGTGCAGGGACG